ACAGAACCCTAATAGACTTAATCTTGGCCACTGGAGAAAAGGTCTCATCATAATCAACTCCCGGAGTTTGTGAGAAACCCTTTGCAACCAGTCGTGCCTTATAAGTGTGTACATTACCTCCATGTCGGTCTTCTTCTTGAAGATCCATTTGCACCCTACAGTCTTACGACCTGGTACATTCTCAACCAAGTTCCAAACTTGATTGTCATACATGGACTGTATCTCGTGTCCATTGCCTCTTTCCACTTGGCTGACTCAGGGCCTGCCATGGCTTCCGCGTAACTGTTAGGTTCATCCAGACCTATCAGTGTCTCATCACTGATAAGTGTATCACCTTCCGTAGTAATATGGAATCCATAGTAATGCTCAGGTGCATTCCTAACCCTTGTGGAACGCCTAGAGGTACAGACTTGTCAATTGGCTCAACAGAAGTTTCCTCCTCAAGTTGAGTGCTAGGGTTTGAAGTTCCTTCACCACTTGACTCTTGAATTTCTTCAAGGTCAACTTGCCTCCCACTGTCTCCTTGGCTTATGAACTCTCTCTCTCGAAAGAAAGCCCTCCTAGCTACAAAGACCACATTCTCACTAGGTCTGTAGAAGTGGTAACCAAAGGATTTCTGTGGGTAGCCGATGAAAATACACCTCTCACTTCGAGGTTCGAGCTTATCATGAGTCTCGCGTCTCACGAAAGCCTCGCAACCCCAAATCTTAATGTGGTCTAGTTTGGGTACTTTACCAGTCCACATCTCATGAGGAGTTTTGGCAACTTTCTTTGTGGGAACTAGATTAAGGATATGGGCGGCAGTCTCTAAGGCATACCCCCAAAATGAGATTGGTAGCGAAGCTCGACTCATCATGGAACGAACCATATCCAACAAGGTTCGATTACGCCTCTCAGCTACACCATTCAACTGCGGTGTCCTGGAGGTGTCAATTGTGAGACAATCCCACATTCCCTAAGATAGTCGAGGAACTCTGAACTAAGATACTCACCCACCTCGATCGGATCGAAGCATCTTAATGTTCCTGCCCAATTGATTCTCGACTTCCTGTTTAAACTCTTTAAACCTCTCAAAAGTCTCTGACTTATGCTTGATTAAGTAGACATATCCATATCTACTGTAATCATCAGTAAAAGTCAAATAATAACGATTAGCATCCCTTGTGGCATGTTTGAAGGGCCCACACACATCCGTGTGTATAAGATCCAACAAACCTTCACCCCTCTCACAAGAACCTGTGAAGGGTGACTTTGTCATTTTTCCAAGTAAGCATGATTCGCAACTATCATCTGACTTTAGGTCAAATGACTCCAGACTCCATCCTTTTGGAGTTGGCCTATGCGTTTCTTGCTTATATGTCCAAGACGACAATGCCATAATGATGCTTTATCCAAGTTATTATCATTAACAGAATCAATACACAATACATTATTTCCTAAGTTATCAACCACATATACAGTTTCATACACACCATCACAAGGTAATGCTTTAAAATAAAGAACATTATTAAAGAAAGCATTAATCGAACCAACTTCATTATCAAATGAAAAGGTGAAACCTTGTTTATACAATGCATGAAAGGAAATAATATTTCTTGCCATTTCTGGCGAATAACAACATTTATTCAAATCTAAATTAAAACCACTACTTAGCGATAAAGTATAAACTCCAATCTTGGTGACAGGTAAAGCTTTCCTATTCCCCATGATTAAGTTTATTCTTCCATGCTCCACATTCTCACTTCTTCTTAGTCCCTGCAAATCAGAACAGATATGAATACCACAACCGGTATCAAGGAGCCAAGAGTTAGAATGGGTGAGTTATTAGATAAGATAGTGTAAATACCTGCATGGTTGGGTTTAACTTTCCCATCCTTCACATCTTGTTGGTACTTTGGGCAGTTCCGCTTCCAATGTGACTTTTCATGGCAATAGAAGCATTCAGCCTCTTTAGGGTCAGAAGAAGGAGTGACAAAACCTTTCTTGGTTCCACTTGAAGAAGAGCCATCAAGGGTCCTAGCCTTGGTACCCTTCGAAGAGCTCTTCCTCTTTTCCCTCTACCTTTCCCGATTGCCAAAACCGGGGCGGAGTTTGGAGTAGGAGTGTTAACAACCGACTTACCTTAAGACCTGTTTCTGCGGTCTTGAGGAGTCCTGAAGTTTGCTGAGTGTGACCTCTTCCTTATTCATGTGATATGTCATGCGGAATGATCATAGCACGATGGTAAGGAGTGCAAAATGATATCTATTGCAAGCTCCTCAGGGAAGTTCACATTAAGCTTCAGCAACCGATCACATACCTTTGCATTTTCTGCATGTGGCTCGTGACGGATTCCCCGTCCTTCATCATGGTTGTTATGATAGAGCATATGATTTCATACCTCTCTTGTCGTGCACTTTGATGGTATCTTTCCATCAGATCTTGGTGCATTTCAAAAGGTTAGAAGTCCTCATAGGACTTTTGGAGTTCGCTGTCATGGTGGCCAACATGATGCATGCCACTTTTGTAGCATCCCTTTCATGTGCCCGGAAGTCAGCGATCTCCTGGGAGTTGCAGTGGTCTCATCAATCTCCTTAAGCTCCTTGTCAAGGACATATTCTTTGTCCTCGTAGCGGGTAATCATCCTGATGTTTCTGATCCATTCATTGAAGTTGGATCCATCAAAAGTGACTTTCCCACACAAGTTCATAAGGGTAAAGGAGCCTAGGATTAGAGCCAGAAGCAGCATTGTTTGAAAGACATCTGAAAGAAGAGAACAAGATTAGTTTAGATATTAAGAGAGTCCTTAATAAAACACCAAATGTAATATTAAGGCTAGGATCCAATCACAATATATTATAACTTAGAAGAGGTATGCCGTAATCCAAGCTATAACATATTGAAAGGTAGGTGAATGACGATTCACCAATTTCCACCATGAAAAACGAAATATAAATATTAGGTTTTTAATTGGTTCTTAGAAATTCCTAGATTCTTTTGAGATTCAATGAACTTTTCAAAGGCATGTTTCAATCTCGAGTGTGCCCTCCAAGTTTTGTGACTGGGATACCGAGGATCACAAAACGAGGTGTGAAGTAACCATGCAAATCACTTGGTACCCTCAAGGTTTATCACTCAATCGATGTGCCGGTAAACCACACACGCTCCACCGATGCTATGGTAAACCTTAAGTCACCCTTTACCTACCTTGTTAAGTCCAAGTTAGTGTGCCGGTTAACCACACATGCTCCACCAACGACTTAAACAAAGTGTAAAGTGTAATTTCATGGATTAGCACCTTATTCACATTTTCCTAAAGTAACTAAGATTGGGAATTTAATAAAAGCATTTAGTTACTTTATAATATTCATCATACTTTTAATGAGAATTTATAAGTCCTTGTCTTACCCGTTCGGCTAACGACCCTCCACCGATCAAGGAAGCGGTGGGTGAGAGTGGACACCCATTAAGTTGCCATTTTATAGGCAACAACCTTATACCCCCCTTATAGACCGGCTTCGTGAATGAGGCGTACTAGCGGTAAGACGACTTGACGTTATACATATATCTATTAGTAACTTATAATATTATAAAGTATAAGGGTTGAATTTTAACTTTTAAAATTCTAAGGGTTGGAACTAAAGTTTTAATCAAGACTTTACATGTTCGAAAACTTGAGGGCAAGTTTTGTAAACTTCCAAAACTTTTCATTTCTTATAACTTATGAATTAATTGAGTAATAAAAATGAAGACTCTTCATTTTTATAACTCTTGTGTTCTTTTAATGGCTTTAATAAAAGTGAGACTTTTGGTTTTCCATAACTTGAGGACAAGTTATGGACTCCATTAAAACACATTATGATCATGAATTAAACTACCATGAAGGTTACAAACAATTCCTATGATCATCTAATCTTCATAAGTTCAAGAACATGAATATGAACACTTTCAAGAATCAAAAATTACACTTAAAAAAAAACTTGTAATTTTAATAATTGTCATTGTAAATGGATTAGCATAAACATTACACCATCTAAAACAAGCTTTAAAACATCAAAACAGTTTAGGGTAATGTTTCTAGTCCATTTCCAGCAACAAATGTGCAAACTTTCATACGAGCAGAAAACAGAAAAACAATTTTTTTTCAAGCTGTTTGCACACAAAAAAAAAACAACAAACAAACCTAGGCTCTGATACCACTGATGGGTTTGAGCATTCTAACACTTCCTAAGTGTACATGCAACCCTAATAACCTTGGATCTATGTTTGTCTAATAATCATGCAAAGTTGAATTCCAAGGTTATATTCCTATCTAGCATACATGGGGAACATTTTTAACTTGAATGAAAGATAGAATAACCTACCTTGTTGTTGATTATGATCCTTGAAACCTTGTGAGCCTAGCACCCCAAGTGTGATGCCTCAAATTCTTCACACAACACCAAATGCAAAGGAGTAAACTTTGAGAGAATCTTACACTTGCAAAATCGGCTCTAGCCCTCTTGTTTCTTAGTGTAGCCAATTTTGGTGGAGAATGGGTTTCTTATATAGTGTTGACACATCTAGGGTTACACCATGTAAACCTTAATGTGTCATGACTCTTCATTTCCATGACCCATGAGTTTGTAACTCCCATGGAGCATCCATGGAGCATCCTATGGGTGGAACCCAACTTGATAATCCATGGAGCCTCTTAGCCCACTATATAAGATATGGAAGATTTACATAATCTACCCATATATTTAATTAGTTATCTTTTGATCACTTAATTAATTCTAAATTAATTCTTGATCAAACTAATTAAATAATATTATTAATATATTAGAACTTATAATATATTAATAAACCATAAGTGTTATTTCTCTCATTTTAGTTTATCCAATTGCATGTTGCCATGCAACCCAAATGGACCATGCCGGGTCGGGTCAAGTACATACCATAAATAGTTATGGACTTAGACACCTTATCCAACAATTAAAACATTAGTATGTAAATTGTATAAAAAAGTTAATATATCATACTTAATAGTTAATAAAATACCTATCAAACGCCGCCTCATACTTTTCTGCCGTCTCTAACATCAAAAATGTTGAATTCCATCTTGTGTCAATCTCAAGGGATGGTTTCTTACTACAATTAATCTTCACTTTCTCAACACACTCTAGGAATGTAGCAAACCTAGCACCCGATGACCTCACATACTTCACAGCATTTTGGATCTTTATGGTGGAACTAAAATGCTGTTCTAACTCATCCCTAACCACAAGATTTATGATATGAGCACAACACCTCAAATGCAAGTATTTGCAATCTAAAAAAGCATGGGGTACCCTAAGCATGGTCGCTAGATACCTAATTTCCCCATCATTTGAGGAAGCATTATCCACAGTCACCGTAAACACCTTCTCAATTCCCCAATTTTGTAAGCATTTGTAAACGAGTTTTCCTATGGTTACACCTTTGTGATTTGCAATGGGACAAAAGTTCAGAATTTTCTTTCTCAAAACCCACGTCTCATCAACCCAATGTACCGTCAAACAACTATAATTAATGTTTTGGATGGATTGCCAAGTATCATTTGTAATGGAGACGGTTTGATTTTTTAAAACATTCTTCAGTTTATACAACTCTTCTTTGAATATCTGCAAACAATCCCTTGCGACAGTCCACCTTGAACGCAATTTAAATAGAGGTTTCAAATCCTGTGAATATTCCCTAAACTCCTTCATCTTCAACTATACTAAATGGTTGATTGTCTTTAATACACATGCGGGCTAAGGAATTCCTACATTTCTCTTGGCTGAAGGAATGAACATCTGTGACAACCAGTTATTTTCAATACGGTAAAAGTCAAACAAAGTCAACCAAAGTCAACAAAGGTCAAACATATCTAAAAAAAGTCAACTTTATTGTTTTTATAATTTATTAAAGTTAAATTAATCTTAATTTGCATAAACCTTTATTATAAAGTGTTGAGAAAATGGGAAGTAAAAACACTCCAACCGAGAACCTCGCAACATCAAGCCTTCAGACTGAAAACCCTCTTCGGACCGAAAACTCTTTTCGACCGAAAACCCTCGCATGGTCACTATCTCAGACCTCAAACCGTTTCCGACCGAGAACCCTCGGTCCTATCCACTTGGCTCGCAAACCCATGCAAGTGTCACTTCATTTCATATCTTCCTATAAATAGCTTGGACCGAAAACAATCCATCACTTTTACACTTTCCAACCGAAAACTCACCCTTTTCTCTCAAGAACACAAACCGAAAACATTATTTCTCTCTCAAGTATCATGCGAAGATCACTTGAATCTTCATAGGATCATACCGAGTTCTTCAAGTGTTCTTCATACCATCAAGCAATCCTCATCCAATCTCCTTAAAACCCAACCGAAAACACCTTGATCCTCTTGGTTTCACCTAGAACACCAAGAACACACTTGAATCATCATCTGACCGAATACGTAAAGCCTGACCAAAATCTCCCAACAGCCTCACGATTTACTTCTAACACTCCTTATTGTAAGTAAATCTTACATCTTAGACTACTTCCTTAACATAATTTCCATTATATTCGCTAATTATATACATATATATTGCATGAAAATGCTATTAGGACTCGGTTTTGTTACTGGATCTAACTGTGGAATTAACTCTACCATTTCGAATCTTCACTAGAATACTCACATAAGGTGAGTTCATACCCCTATATTTTACCGTTTTACAATGCTTTTAGGGGGAGAATACAAGCAAAACACAACGAAATTGAGTTAAGACATACGTACAAATGAACACAATCAAAAGAAAACAATTACTTTTATGAAAATTTGTCAAAACCCCTTTATAAACTACTTTCAACTATTTAGATTGTTGTTTTGTATCAAAATCATATTCTTATGTATAACTAGGCTTTAACAGACTTAGGACTATTGCTAATGTCTTAACTCCTATTCCTTGTTTGGTCGTGGGCTTAGGGTAGGATCACTTGTCCGATTGTCGGTTAAATCTTAATTATACATGCCAAATATATATATATATATATATATATATATATATATATATATATATATATATATGAATATTAAACTTACTTTAATAACTATGCTAATCATTTTCATTACAACCATAACAACTTGTAAACTATAATAGGTATGATTTAGGTATCAATTCACACTATTTACTAGTTCGAGTATACATTACATGAACAAACACACCAGTACAATTACTTTACTTTACAAATATACTATTCAGTTACAAGAACAAGAAAAAATATATACACTATACGTAAACGAGTTAATACTAGAATGTGAGACACTACTTCATGGTACCTAATAAGGTTCATGCTAAGATATAACCAGAGTCTCCTGGAGGAGAGCGTGAATTTGTGTATAGATCTATACGGGACTGAAAATCCCGCACCTCGGCTGTTAGCCACAGTTGGACCGGCAGGTCTATGGGTGACAAATATCATAACTTTTCGACGCCTGAAGAACGTCGTGTAGTATACTAGTCAATTTAGTATGGTTATAATATCATTCACATTAAGCATTAACTAAACATTTCTTTTTACTAAACAAACATTACTTCAGTGGTTTTATTATAAGTAATAGGACTACATATCATTACTTTCCAGAACTATTACACTGTAGAGTTCATACACGTGCAGTACACTATTTTCTAACAAAGAAAACATACATTTATGGAAAACATACACTCATACTATTTTAGAGTAAAATAACATACAAAACATTTTGGTCTTAAGGTCTAAGACTTATTTTCATTTAGATAGAGAAAATATGGGATTTTCTGGGGAACACACTATCATTTTCATGGAACAAATACAAACATCAAATACTAAATGCTTATGAACTCAGCAACTTAAATGTTGATACTCTCTTTTCAAAAAAACTTGTATACTCAGGGAACCAGTTGCTAGGTCACATTTTGTTGGTTTGTGCTAGGCATCTATTTGTATAGGTCTTGATAAGGTTTTGGTCATATTATGTGTGTTCGCGGTTGTGTTTACGGCCGAGTAGGGTGATGGGTTTGAGCCAAAAGAACATCCTATGTGCTCATGCAAACTCTAATGCTTGGATCTAGGTTTCTCTAATTGTACATGCATTCATCCAAGACTTTCAAACCCTAGATCTAACGAGAGTAATTCAAAATTATAAGAAACAAATCAGATCTAGATCATTACCTCTTGTTGCTTGCTTGAATCTTCTTGTCTTTGAAGCTTAGAGTCACGAGTGTCACTCCTCTAATGGCTTACAAACACCAATAGCAAAAGAATGATCTTGAAGAGAGGATGGAGGCTTCTTGAAATCGGCTCTATCACTCTTAGTATTAGGGTAGCCGATTTCTGTAGCCTAGGGGTCCTATTTATACTGTTGCTGCTAGGCTTTCAGTCAAAAACCCTAATGGACTGATTAGGCCTTAAGCTATCCAAGGAAGCTTCTGGAATAAAAGCCTTAGGGCCGAAATTAAGGATGGACACATCCTAATTTCGTCCATGCCTAGTCCAAGAGGCTCCTCAGCCCAATACTCAACTATCACACATTTGACAGTTTAAGTCCCTGATATTAAATTAATGTCTTTTAGCCACATAATTAATTTCTTAATTAATTCTTGTCTAATATTAATTTAATTATATGATTTCTCCATTAATATATTATTCATATAAAATATTAATAAATCATGATAACCTCTTTATTCACAAATCATCCTATCATGTTGCTTTGATGAAGGCAACCCAAAAGAACCATGCACAACCGGGTCAAGTACTTACCAAATATAGTTACGGGCTTAGACACTAATCCAACAGTCTCCCACTTGGATAAGTCTAGTAACTACAAATGTAAGCACAATCCGATTAGCAATCGTAGCTCTCAAAGACGCTGTCAAACTCTGATCTTATCAGTAACCTGTCCTTTAGATAAGGGATCGTATAGTCCTCTATTCTAGATATCATGTGGACAATTACATGGAACATAGTCATACTTATTGTCCAGCAGTTTGTTTCTCGATCTCTGATTTGTATGACATAGAACTTAATTGAACACATCAATTTAGTCCTGACCAGGCCCGACACATAAGTCAAACCAAATCATCGAGGGGCCCTGATATTTCTTTTACCCTCTTAGGATAAAAGGAACAGATAAACTTCGACTTATATGCATTTACTATTCACTAATCAAATCATACACAACAATGCGTTTTATAACATCAAGTTACTGATGCGTTTACGCATTATCAATGCATAACCAATTAGCAAACAATAAACCATATATCTAGGTTTTAAGACCATATGATATTATCGTCTTGCGATCACTCGAGATAAATTCCATGAATTGATTCCAGCAAGCGTGGGTTTATTCCAATGCTCAAATCAGACTCATAAGCACTCATGAACGTTGTAGCAAACTTTTGCTATGTCTAATACACTTTAGACAATCTACACACCAATTCATGACAGTCTTCATTCATACCTACTTCCAACATATGAACGACTGTGGACCGTTCGAATAATCTCATTATTCAGGAAGTCAAAACATGCAAAATGAAACAATAGGTAAACAATTAACATAAGACAGTAAGATTACTAATAAATAATACTCTTTTATTTAATCATCAAATGTTAATTACAGTTTATCTATTACACGTTTCTAAACTATGTAATCTAAACTAATATCGTCCTTCAGCCCGATGCTCCTAGCGTGCTGCAAGTGCTTAACCCTGCTCAGTCCCTTCGTAAGCAGATCTACTGGGTTATCCTCTGATGATACGCTCTTTACTACGAGGAGTCCTTCTTCCACCCGATGTCGAATAAAGTGATATTTTCTGTCGATATGTCGAGATCTGCCGTGATCCCTCGGTTCCTTGGTCAAGGCAACCGCTCCCTCATTATCATGGAAAATTTCCATGGGGCTCCTTTATGGATGGCACAACTCCAAGGTCTCCAATGAAGTTCTTCAACCATATTGCCTCCTTTGATGCTTCGCTCGCTGCAATGTACTCTCATTCGCACGTTGAATCAGCTACGGTCTCTTGCTTGGAACTTTTCCAAGTCACTACTCCTCCATTTAGGGTAAAGACCCAGCCCGAATGCGAACGGTAGTTGTCTCTGCCGGTCTGAAAACTGGCGTCACTATACCCTCGCACTCTTATGTCATCACTCCCACTGAGGACCAGAAACCATTCCTTGGTTCTCCGATGGTACTTAAGAATATTCTTGACTGCGGTCCAATGTGCTTTGCTAGGATTCCCTTGATATCTGATGACCATGCTCAAAGCAAAGGTCACATCAGTGCGAGTACAAGTCATAGAATACATGATCGAGCCAACTGCGGAAGCGTAAGGTACTCGGCTCATCTCTGCTATCTCGACTTCGGTACTCGTACTTTGAGTCTTACTCAACTTGGCATTACTTTGGATCGGTAACTCCCCCTTCTTTGAATTCTCCATACTAAAACGTTTTAGTACCTTGTCCAAGTAAGTATTCTGACTAAGTCCTATTAGTCTCTTACTTCTGTCTCTCACTATCCTTATTCCCAAAATATAGGAAGCCTCTCCGAGGTCCTTCATAGCGAATCACTTCCCGAGCCAGGACTTAACCTCCTGCAGTGTCGGGATGTCGTTTCCTATGAGTAATATGTCATCGACATATAATACGAGGAAGCTAACTATACTCCCACTGGCTTTAACATATATACATGATTCATCCTCGC